TTAATCTGAGGCACTTTTGCATGAACTGAACGCTTCTACAACAACAGCAGCTCAGGCGGCGTCTGGAAGCCCACTTATGATTGGACCAGTTCACGTGGTCGTCAAACCGACTACCAACCCTTTCAGACAATGTAGAAAGAGGATGATATGGAAAGATGCCTGGCCTTTGTTAAAAGTTAGATCTGCAATTCGGCGCTGTAGTGTCACGGTTCGACTCCCGCGGGGGGCATTGACAAGACCTGGGCGAGGTCGAGACTGGGGTCGACTCCGGCCGAGAGGAGAATAGAGTTTGAGGTGAGCAAGGCTATGCGAAATTGAATGGAAACGTCCGTTCTATTCATCAGTTTGTGGGAAAATTGAACTACCAATCCTTCATCACCTCAACCGAAATAACGGGAAAACATTTCATAAACTGTAGAAAGAGACGTCGGGGACTGTGCCCAGCGATGGGTGGATTTGGTTGGCAGCGGCATTCGCCGTTTTCGCCCACCCACCCACCTGAGAGGGGCGCTGGCAACGAGGGCAAAAGCGACGGCGACGGCGACGGCGACGGCGACAGCGAGGCCAGCAACGACGAGGCGAACGTGGCGGGAAGGCATGTGACGCCGGTTCGCAGACCGGGCGCCGAGGCTCGGCCGGTCTGTCGCGGCTCCGAATCCGCCGCCGCGGGATACTGACTCACCGTTTGCGTCGACGTTGGTGTTGGCGTCGACGGCGACGGCGAGCCTCGGTCGATCGGGAAGGCGGTGGGCACAATCAGCGAAATGGCCAACGACAACTGGTCCAGACTCTGCGACGAGACGCCCAGATTCCGTAGCCCCGTCGGCAGGTCCGGACCTGCCAACGGACTCGGCGTTTGACCGAGTCCCGGTGCGCCGTCACGGCCGGGACACGGCGTCGCCAGGCCTGTCGCTCGGGCCTGCCTAATCGGCTCGTCGTCGTGACGACTGCGCCAGACGCCCGGCGCCAGACCCGGGCTCTGGCAGGCGGTCGTCATGCGAGTCCGCTTCGTCCGAGTCCCGGACTCCACCTCCTCCACCAGCTCCGTCTCATGCGCGGACTCCGATTCGCTCGGCCAATGTCTGTACGTCCAGCTGGGCTGTACAGTTGCCATCTTTCGCTCCGGTTCACCTTTGGC